AGGATATTTTGTGTGTGTTTTTTTAACGTTTGGCTTATGAGCGCTCAGTTGAGCTCACATTTTGTTTCATTTGTTGATCTGTCACAGTCCACAGCTTTGTGAATTATGGCTCACATATAAGTAGATTTAAGGTGGAAGAGCTAAGAAAAGAGTGTCGTGCAAAAGAAAATGCGGAAGAAGCGGAAAAAAACATCAGGCGCAACACTGAAATAATGAAAAAATTTGAGGAGGAACTGAATTCATTGCTTGGCAAGCATCGTAACTCTATAGCATCGATACTTGGTGCAGAAGGACATGAGTTTCCGATAAGGTCAATAAGATTTTAACATCATAATGAATATGATTTTTATTTTTTTGAAGAGATCTAGCTGCGGATATATTTCCTTTTATAGAACTGGTTTTTAAGATTATTATAATATTTCAACATAAGCTGTAACGAAGCCTAGCAATAGCCTTTTTTCTTAAAAATCTGCATTTCAGTGAGCGGCTCGCCATCCATGCCCGAAAAGTAGCAAGGGATCGAACAGCTGCCGAGGAGCTATTCAAAATGCACGAAAATGAACTATGTCGTGCGCAACATGCACTCTCCCAGAGCAGCCGGGAAGTTGATCGTGTCACTGAACAAGCTGCGACGTATAAAAGGCGAATTAGTAAGGTGCATTTTAAATTACTATGCATTCCAAACAGCTTCGGGAACTGGACCATCGTCACTTGGTGGAGGCTGGGAATACTCAATTTCTGTGCATAAGTTTTGAGGAAAACATCCCCCTCACTGAATTTGGTTTTTACTTTGAGCGCTAGCTTCGCCTCATTCGTTGGGGAAACGGCGTTGAACAACCCACCTATGTCGTTATACATGTTCATCACTCATTTTCAATAGAAAGGTATATTAACAAGAGATGAAAATAAGAGGAATCAAAAAGGAAAGTAAGAAATGAAAATTAAAGAATTTTTAAAATTAGTAAAATTATTAGGCGTTCTGTGCTGTGTAGCAGCAGTACAAAACACATATTGTCACAGGGTTGTCTGTGTGCGTCCACAGCAACTTACCCCGCAGCTCTCAACTCGGGAACCAGAAAAACTAGAAAGCCGAAAATTTAGAGGTATGTCCCCCACCCAAGTGTAACCCCGCAAATTTAAATTCAGCCTCCCCGTACCCGTGGATAACATATACGGCCCCGTGAAACTTTTGGCGAATAAATTATTATCTCAAGGGCCACGGAATCTGGGAAGCTGAAATTTTGAGGGACTGTTCCCTACCCATGTGCAATCTCTCAAATTTGAATTCAGAGTAGTGAAAATCATTAGCAAGCAATCGTTTGGCGAGCGGAATTGCACAAGACGCATGATCGCACCGGCTGCCCTAGGGCGCGCCGTTATTTGTTGTAGCATTGTAACAAGATTCACTGTTCTTCGGAACACACACCTGAACAGGTGGTACTGGTTCAATCGTAAGCTTATTTTTCAGGTAGTTTTATCTGAGAATGACGTTGAAAGACGGCTGAATGAGGTGCGAACTCTGCTCAAAAAATCCCAGCAAGACTTAGGGGTCATCGACGGTTGCAAGTTCCTGTATCAGGAATGGGAGGAGGAAGTTGTGATGAAGAATTGCTGTCCGCTTTGTGGAAGAACTGGCAAGAGCGGCGACGATTGGGACTGCAAATCTTTGGCAGAAAAGGTATTGCAATTTCGAAATATTTTTGCAGGTTGGCGAGAAAAAAATAGCTAAGCACATTTTTTTTATTTTATTTTTTTTTTTGCAGGTTGGAAAGAAAAAAAAATAACTAAGCGCACCAAGAGGCATATGCAATCATGCGTTTTCGCCACAAGCTGTTGCTTAAACTGAAAATTGCACAGCTCAAAATTTTGAAATTAGAAAATATAAATTTACATTTAAAGTCTTGATCAGAACGCAGCTGGGACTAGAGACTGATTTCTTTTTTGCTCTAAACTGCCTAGTAGATTATATGACAAAATTGCCTGCTAAGGACTTTTTTAACTTTCGAGTTACAAATTCTGCGTGATTAGAAAAATGCCAGTAATTCCGCAAAAACTTTCACATGCCCGTACGTGAAATCTAGGCGTACTTAGAAAATGAATTTGAAATCTTTGGACTGCACTAAGACAAAATTTATCCTTCTGCAGTAATTGTATCTTAGCTTTTCTGGTTCCTGAGTTAGCAGTTTTC